AGTTTTCGAAAATCTAAATCGGGTTCTCGAATTGAAGAAGGATGGGATGCTCTCTTTTTTATTGCTATTTTCCTTAATTGTGGTGTTAAGGTCGTCATTAAGATTTCTGTCATCTTTGTGTTTTTATAGTCATGTGTATTTAGTGAGTATGCTTTTCGAACTAGTGTTTCGATTCGTACTGCTATTTGCTTGATGGTTTCGTTTGGTAATCTGCGAATTTCATTACATAAAACTCTTTGTTGTTGTTTGTTTCTTTCGGAGTCAAACATTTTTGAAAATTCTTGTGTAAATCTTTTCCAGTTTGATTTTATTTCTTGAGGTAGTACTGAAAACCATTTTTGGGCTGCGCCATCTAAGGTTGTTTGTATCAACGCTGTGCGTCGATGTATCCAGTTTTGATGTAGTGGCGTGTTAATTGGTTCAGGTCCAATATTTAAAATCAGGTTTGCTGTTACTGCATTTAAATAATCTTCTACAGAGTATTCAGGGTCTGTTCCTGTGAAAACCATTAAAGGTTTGTTTGATGTTATTGATGATCCACCCATAAGGTATGGATTCATTGTCATTTGTAATGATTCAGCTATATTTGGCATTTGAGAAAAATTTGAAAGTTGGTTTCTTGTTATTTCATGTTGTTGGAGATAATATGGGAGTGGTATTTCGTTTTGCATTTGTGATGGTTGATACGAGTGTGTAGTCATTGGATTTTGTTGTTGAATTGGTTGAAAAGATTGTATATTAATTGGATTTTGTTGTTGAATTGGTTGTTGATATTGTGCATCTATTGATTGTGGAGAAAAATTTCTATAATTTGTACGTGTTTTCTGTATTCCTTGTCTACGATATTCTTGAGTATTTGGTGCAAATATATCTGGCTGTATGAAATCATCATCTGAGGATAAATAATCCATTTGATAAGATGTTTGTTTTTTATTTTTATTTTGTTGAAAAAATGGGTAATTTTCACTGCGATCCTGTGGAGGATTTGGTTGAAAATTTTTGGAATTATATTGGGCCGTTGGGTTATCCCAGTTTCGAGGTTTTGTATATTGATTAAAATTCCTTTGTGGTTGATAATTTGTTTTTGATGGATGTGTATAATTATAATTATGGTCTGCAAAGTTGTTTCTAGTGAATGTTTTACGTGTTTTTGATGGTATTGTCATGGGTCTGTATGTTTGGTAATCCATATGTGAATATTTAGGGGCAACCGAAGGTTTAACGGTTGACTGTAAGGTTACCTGTGTTTGTGAAGGATTTGTATTTCTTGGTGTTGTTAAATTTGGGCGTATTGGTGAAATACTTTGTTGTGTAGTTGTTGTGTGTACAATTTCTTCATTTATGAAGTGTGATGGTGTCTGGATATCTTGTTGAGTAAGATTCCTAGTTCCATTAAGGTTTTCGTTGTGTATGACTGTAGAGTTTAAACTATTATTTTGTGTATCGGGTAAAAATGTATTATAGTTTAATGGTGTTGCATCAATTGTTAATGGTATTACTCTTACGTAATCTCTTATGTAAGATATTGTACCTATTGCTTGACTTGAGATTGATTGTGGAAAGCTTATAAATGCGGGATGAGACCATTCGGGGTCCCAAACATAATCTGATTGTTCTGTGATAGCGGTATCATCGTTCGAATTTTGGGGTCGAAAATTTTTTCTTGCTTGTGCAATTAAATCAATATTGTGTGTGAAATAATCTATTATGAACCATGCCAAAATTTTTTGTAAATCGTGTTTGGTATGTTGTGAAACTTCGTCTTTCGTGAAATTTTCTTTAATGATGTTTAAATAACTAGAGAGTAGTGTAATTTCATGTCGTACTTTCAAATGTTTGGATGTTTCTGTCGGTGAGACATTTGTTAGTGGGAGTTCATTTTCTAATATCGAAATATAACTATATATTATTGCGAAAACTTCATTGGTGAATATGGAGTTTGCTCTTTGTGAGTTATGATATTGGATGCTTTTTATATATTCTGAAAAAACTTTTGAAAATTCTAAATCAAGATCGTCTGTTTGAATAGTATATGTTCTATTATTATGGTTTGGGGAAGTGAATTCTATAGAATAGATTCCATACTGCTGTGTTATGTTGCATATATCTTTTAGATAGTGATCTATGATTTGTCTTTTGATTTTTACATCGGGGAACTCTGTTTTACAAGGACTGATTCCGGGTTCAAATAAATTTACGAGTAAATTTTGACAAAATATGTGTTGTCCTCTATCGGTATCTGCATCTACTATAAAAGGAAAGATTTCATCATCATCTGGAGTTTCGTCACCTGGGGTGTGCGTTGAACTCATTTTTTCGTTCGATAACTGTTAATATGTAATTATTAATGTGTCGAATTGGTTGATTCCAATTGTATAGATGTACTGGTTTTTGTTTGTACTGTTTTTTTATTCTTCTTTTTCCTCTTTGTGATGAATTTGAAGTTGTTTCTGAGTCAGAAAAATATAATTGATCGTGTTGTGGGTAATTTTTATCTATTGATTCTTTTAGTTTGTAAAGTTCGTCTAAACTGTTGGTTTCTGATTCTGAAAATGCGTTTCGATTTTTTGAAAATCTTTTTCGTGTTATTTGTCTTTGTTTAGTTATTATTTTTCTCTTTAGTGTTTGTCGTTTTGTTCGAATGTATCCAACTGTTTGTGTATGAGGTGTGATTACAAGGTCGTATTTTTTGTTATCTATTTCACAATTGTGTAAAATGGTTGTTTGTTTATTTCCTAGGTTTTTAAATGACATAAGGTTTAGAATGACGGATGCAAAAAGTTGTTAAATGATTTCTATTTTCCTAAACTGTTAGTTCTTACGATTTTTTGGTTAGCTTAACCTGGGTCTATTTGTTCAGGGTTGGAGAGAAAAGTATATCGATTCCGAAGAATGATTTTTACTTTCTCGTGACTAGTATAAGCTAAGGTGTTAACTTACTTAATCTTACTTAGGGGTAGTGATTGTGTTCAAGGGTTGGAGAATAGTAAATCGATCCACAAGGTTCAGGTATAATTAGAACGCGAGTAGTTCGTTAGATACTATTTTAAACTTACTAAGTCTAAGATTTATCCTGGGTCTGGTAAGAGGGGGGGTCAAGTGAAGGATGAATAACCGAAGTTCTTCACTGTTTATCCTAATTTGAATGATTAGTTTTGTTTAAAAATTTCTATTAGTCTTGGGTCTTTAGAAAGGGTTGGGTAGTGAATCGACGTTTGAGGTCGTTAGACACTAATTAAGTGGGTGGGGGAGAACAAAGTTGTTCTGTTTGATCCAAGGATAAGCCTTGATGATCAAATTTGAAATTTAATTAAGTAGAAATTGATTTAAGATCCAAGGATAAGCCTTGATGATCTGGTTGTAAAATTAAGTGACTTTAAGTTTTAATAAAATTTTAGATGTGTGTAAAGGAAAGATTTAGTGTTTTGATGATATTAGTGGGTTTATGATTGCTGTTATGTTTTAGATGATGAAGCTGGAACAACAAGATGATTTATGATTACTAACCATTTATTGTCATGCTACTAATTTTTATTTTTATTTTCCAATAAATATTTTTCAAACATGTTTTGTATAATACTGCAGAGTTTTAGGAAAACGATCTTAGATCTTTTTATCAATCGTTATTGTATAATATTAATTTTGTTTAGCGCCTGAAATGATTTTGAAGATTAACTTCAAGGTATTATGTTTGCAAATGGAAATCTAAATTCATTGCAAGTAGTATTCGAAATATAAAAGTTTGTTCTGGCTTTTGCCGAACTATCATATAACTATACGGCAAGTTTCTACTTTGTCGTATGTCGTCTTTGGTTCGATGTCTTCTTCCAATTCCGGGTAGTTCTATTATGGTTCGGAATATTGGCTCGGATCTATTGAGTCGGAGAGACATTTCAATTAAATTATTGTCGTATAACATTTTGTAAATGTTTTTGTCTAATTTCTAATCTATTTTTGGTTAATTCTAATCTAGTAAGGTCTTGTTCGAGACTTATGGTCGCACCAGATGAGTTAGGACCGAGGTGTAACTCATAGAGTAATTTCGGATAGGGTACACCGTCTGCTCGTCACGCTATCTTATTTTCGGCCGGATAGATTCGTGCAACTTCTTAGTCTAATACCGATCCTAATCTTACTCTTATACTATCTAGTCTCAGGTTGTTTAACTAGTCTCTGCTAGGCTCAATAGATCTAGGGTATACTGGTTTATTGCGGCTGCTGAAGTGCTCGGGAGAGTCCAACTAATTTCTAAGTTAAATTCAAATCTCTCTGGTGCTGAAATTACAAGTAACTTCAGCACTTACAAATAAGTGGGTTGTTAGTTAGATGGATCATGATTGGTTAATATTAAATACTTTACATTGGTAAAACATTTAATTTATCCAATCATAAAATATAGTTTAGATCAGGTTCCAATGTAATCGCTGCGATATCTCTGAATTAGCGATAATAATGTTTCCTGTCAACTCAACCCGGTTTACAAATTTGTTCAAAATCAGCCAGTTAAAAAAGCGAAATTTGCCGTTTTAGTGGTTGCTGCGGATCGCTGAGGAGCTATCAGAAGGCCTTAACAGCCCGGGTTGACCTCCATAGACCAATAATGGTACTCATACAATTCCATAAACTAGTAAGTCTATATGAAAATTGTATATGACTAGCATTTTTGGTCAACCCGGGAGCCCTGTCGAGGATAGTCCATTTGTATTATCTCCCCACATTCCAGACTGTGTTATTTTATCAGAAGAAGAAACCACATCGAGCACAAAGCTCAAAAGTTCCATCAAACCATGAAAACAGTTTTTCTACTCGGAATGTTAAACCTTCTAAATGCGGAATCAAACTAGATGAATAACAAGAAAGGCAATCGCAATGGTCTTTTCTTAATTTGCTCGTGCCTGAGGGCGATAGACCTACGGGCAGTAGCAAGGGGTAACGAGGAGAGGAAATGAGAGGAGCGGAAAGTGTGAATAGAGTGTGAATAGAATTAGCATATCATATCAATCGGGCGAAACAGATAGCCTGATAGCAAGACACTTTTGTTTCCTTTTGTCTGAATAAAAGACCTACTAATTAAGTTACCACGCTAGGCTATCTGGGAACTTTTACAACTTTGGCCGTAGTAAAAAGGCATTATCGCCAGCAGTAAAGGTAGCGAAAGGGGAATTAATGATTTTGTAAGAGGTCTCACATTTGTGCTGTCTGCATTTATTTAGCCCCTTTTCCTTTGTTTATTCAATGTCCTCCAGTAATGGGAAAAGAAAGTGAAATTTAAGCAAAAACAGAGAGCAAATCAAATGTAAATTATTCAAAAGCAGCAGCCTCGTTATCGTGATTAGATTATTTGTTCAACTCACCACCTGTACTCGCAAGAAAGGAACTTGAGGCACTTTCATCGCAATTTCGCCCCCTTTGAAAGCGGAGTCCCGGTGAGAGCGGCCCTGTTTAAAATTAAAATCATTATTATTTCAACTTACAATTGTAAACAACTCAATTTTACACGTTTATTTGGGATACAACAGGGATACTATTACACCTAATATCCAAATCCGGCACATAACTGTATATAGCTAGCTAATTAAACACAGGTACTCCCTGTTTTTACAACAGGAACGTTGCAATTTGAAGCGATATTCGAAATTTATAGCCTCCAAATATTTTTTAATTTGAAACAAATAAATAGAATTACCGATCAAAACAATTGTTATTTCGCTTTCCTACATAAAACTGGACTCAATTATAGATTTTTCTCTCTCAATCTGCACGTGTAGGCTGACCTCATAAACTTTGAAAAGCCGTTTTATCCCTGGAATAGGAAAATACTTTTTTAAAAATTGAAAAGCCGCTCTAATCTCAGCAGATGATAGTGTCTTGTTTAAACAGCCTCTCAAATTCCACATAACTTGCTCCTTTCTAATTGCATTTCGGAAGTGAAGACATTTGCTCATTTTTTGCCTCCGATTTTGGCTGAAGAGGTCCTATGCTGTTGTCGAAGCAGAATCATCAGATCTATAATCATTCTGGTTTACCTGGCGTATAAACAAATCAGACGAAAAAAATTCTTGGTGCATTATTTGACTTTACTTTTACAACTACCATTAGAACTTTGTATAATCATCAAATAATCGCTTCGGATCTGGTGCTTTTGAACCATCATAAAATTAGTTCAAAACGAATCTTAGATCTGCTTGTCTAAAGGCTTTAGCAAGTCCAACCCAAGATAACGTATACATGCATGCAATCATCTCCACTAATTACCATTACTCGAGCAAACTTCGTCCAATAGCAGGACTGCACTATACTGCTGATTTATATGCACACAGGCTGGTCTCCTATTTTTCTTGAAAATCTCTATAATAGTGTTTGTCAGAAAACCATCGGGGCTCGAGGGCACAAGCCTAATTCAAACCAAATATTCGGAACTTTGTTTAACTTAATTTCAAATTACTGTTTCGTCATTTTATGCTTTAGGCTGTTGTTCGAAGCAGCAAACCCAAGATAGATCTGGTCACTTAAGACACCACAAATAACTGCTTATAAACAATTGTTTATGTTTTTCTTCTGTTTATTCAAGCTGCAACTTCGAGGCAATATAGCGATCGTTCAAATTAAAAATCGGCCATACCATAGGTAAGTATCATTTACTTACCCGCACCGGAGTTCCATGGCTAATAATCGATTATAATGGAAAAATATTGTCTAAAATGTTGTCATTATCCATTATTGTGGGGCAATTTTAGACCACGTAATCGAATATGTGAACATTACAATCGATTTTTTTCGAAAAATAAAAATCCATTAAAATCCATTAAAACTGGAACGTGGGGGGGGGGGGGGGGGGGGTTTAAAGTAAACGGAGGGAACACCGTTCAAACCACAATACAATATATACAGGGGCGGATTTAGGGGGGGCGGACGCCCCCCCCCCCTCAGGGAATCGACCCCCTGCCGACCCAAAGAGTCCCCCCTTTGATACTTTTTAAGAAATCCATTTTTGGCCGACCGACCCCAAAATTTTCTAAAGGCGCCTTAGGCGCCAATATATACTAATTTTGAGGGGGGAGCGCGCGCCGAAAAAACGCAATTTTTCGGTCAAAATTTTCCAAAAAGTGCCTAAAAACGCCTTTTTTGATCTGTTTTTTCAAAACTTTTCCTGCGGCGCAAAAAGTTTGGCCAAAATAGGGACAAAACCATGCTTTGGGAGAGCTCGAAAAATCAATTTGGTCGACCTTAAAAAAAAGGTCTTGGAAATTTTCGAAAATTTTTTGAAAATCCGCCCCCCCCCCCCTCGAGAAAATCCTAGATCCGCCCCTGAATGTATATTATTTTCAAAAATATATATATAAATTTTAACGTGAAATGTAACATTTTATGAAACGTTTCACGTAGCACCTGCACTAAACAGGAAATGAGATAAATTTGATAAAAGTTGTAAATTTCACAAATAACCTCTCAAAAAAATCCATAATAATCGATTATAATCGATTATCATGGATTATATTAGCATAAAAAGAATTAGGATTGTAATCTTTTTTAATGGATTATAATCGATTAAAATGAATAATATTGACCTAGAAAACATAAGGATTAAAATTCATTTTTAATGGAATATAATCGATTATTTTGTAATTTTATTCGGATTTTATTGATTAGAAAAATAGTTTCATTATAATCCGTTTTTAATCAATTATAATCAATTATTATCGAAAATTATTGAGACACACCACAAAAATTCAATATAATCGATTATTATCTATGCAACTCCGGTGCGGGTAGGAATTTACTGGGGCTAGATTAGGTTTTTTAGCCGACCAGTTTTTTTAGCAGACTCAAAACAATTAAACAGTCAGAACGCTAAATTCAAACCCGGTATTGGCAAATAGAACACGCGTGCTCCGCTTCGCTCCGCGGCGCTTACATCCGGCAGGCGAAAATTATTGTGTTGGAATCCCTCGGGGGCTATTCTCTTGCGCGAAGAACCGAATGGGCAAAAAAATAGTGGGCGAAGGACCGAAAACAAAATTAGCCGAAAAAATTTTTTTTAAAAAAGGAGCAATTGCTATTCATTTAAAATGATATAATTGAAGCAATATTTTGCTTCTTTCATAACGCAACCTTTGAAATACAAAATTTGTTCCAATTCCGCGGCGGTCAGTGACAATTTGAAAAGTTTGCAGATTTCTGCCGTTTTTATATTCGGTCAATATCAATACTCAGTCTCTCAAATTGTTCACTTTCTTTCCAAATTTTAGATTACTGAAACCTGATTGGCTGAGTTTTTTTTTTGCGCATTCGGCTTTTCGCGTATGAGGGATTTGGATCAATTCCATAAGTACAGAAAATTAGATGATTAGTTATTTTTCATATATGAAAATTGTATGACTACCATGTTTCCATAAACCAAAAATATTGATATTCTACATTTGAATTTCTCAAAATTTTTTCATTATGTTCGTAACCGAGCAAAAAGGAAAAAACTTTGGTTTAAAAGTAAACTTAACCGAAAACAAGTGACAAAAATTATGCATTAAAAAAGCATTGGAAACGGCCTGACATGTCTTGAATCTGTCTTTCACAAATTATATAACGAAATATTCACTATTTCATCATTGTAATTGCATGCTGTAACCAAATATTTGTTCTCGATGTGGGTTTTTTTTCTTCAGACAAATTTCAACTTTTTATCTAACCTTTTTTGACGGAATTTGAAAAACTGCTTCAATTTGAGAAACTGTTTCACCTGTGACCATTTTTCTTAAAGTTATGAGGGTTTAAAAATTACCGTTTTGGTCCATTGGGACAATTAACGCGCGATATATTTCGCGCCATTAACGCGTAAGCGGAGATTTAATCCGTCTTAGAATCCGTCGTTCCAATTTAATCCGTCGTTCCGTCTTAGAATCCGTCGTTATAATCCGTCGTTCCGATTTAATCCGTCGTTCCAATTGGTTGAAAGAAGCTTATTTGCCATAATTGATTTGTTACAAGGAGCGAAATCTATTCTTTTGTATTTTATATGGAGTCACCCCCCACACTCCATATAAAATACTAAAGAATTTTCGTAGAAAAAAAAACAAATTTTAGAAAAAAATTTTATTTCATTTTATTACATTTAATATGTTAATGATATTTATGTTATTACTGTTTCATAAATCTTAAAAGGCAGTCGGAACATTCAGGGCTTCGCCCTGATACGAGCAGTCTTGTCGTTTCTTAAGCTAGCCGTTAAGTTTGCAGTTGAGTTGATTTTAAAGGAACTATTTTCTTTCTCAATTAACTAAATAGAGACAGAAAACCGAGCACACGCCATATGTTTTACTATAGCAATTGATTCCGTTTAATACAATCATCCATCGTCTTGTTCCGGCTCTATATTCATAAACTCACTAATGATAAAGAAATTGAACAATTTTTCTCGTCAATATGTTCTAGTATAAGGTATCAATTGCAAATAATTCACTTTCATTTTTAGCCCAAATTGTTAACAGGAGTTTGCAAAATCTGAGCAACTTCAAGTCGAATATACAATCCACATAAAATATAAATCAGCAATAATGGATCACGTGCAGATACAACAACAGATGTCGCTGATTAGCAAAGATCAAATTTACCCTCATGTTGTGGAAAAAGTTGGCAACCGAGTCCGGCCAGAATCAACTCATCGCGCCGAACGTCAAACCATAGAAAGTGAGTCGGGTACTACAATGATACAGTGGACCCTCGAAAAAGCAAATATTATGGACAGGTCACCTGTCTATCTTAGTTGCTTTTCCGAGGGAACACTCTATCATAGTCCGTTTCGCATGTTATAATTTTGAAAGCCGATTTCCTGGGTTGACCGAAAATGCTTGTCCCACAATTTTCATATATGAAAAAATGCGTATCATACAATTTCCTACATCTCTATAGATAGAGAAAATGTTAAGAAAACACCTAAGATAAGCATTTTTTATATATGGAAACTGTAGGACAAGCATTTTTTCATTAACCAATAATATGATTTTTCTTAAAAATTTTCTCAAAATTTTTGGGATGTGCTTGTGACCGAACACTAGTGACTAAAACCATGGTTTACTCAAAACTAGAGTCACCAAAGGGTTAATCATCTGCCATTTTCAATGCATTACAAACAACTTGAATTGCGTAAGAGTTCTCTTCAGAAAGCATATACTGAAAGCATCAAACTTTTAATTTTTGGGTCTTTCCCATTATAGCTCCCCAGCCTAGTATCAAAACAATTAAATTCACGCTGACACGTTTTAATGCAGTTTTCAAAAAAAAAGTAAATTTATATAGACTTTCCTTTAATGAATTTCAGAAAATAAAAGGAACTGGAAAAAAGCCGGAAAATGTTTGTTTGAGTACAAAATTCGATTTGAGGCTGAAAAAAAATGGGGCAACTTCAATAGTACCTGGAAAAACTTTTTTCGTCGCCATCAAAAAAATGCTAGGCTCTTTTCCAGTTCCCCCTTTCAAATTCAATTTTGAAAAGCTTAGATAACGTTGTCATATTGCAATGAAATTTGGCGTGGTGAACAAATCGACAACTATGAAGAGATTTGTTCTTCAAACTTTACAGCGTAACATCACGCTTTTAGCAGTAATAACACGTATAACAAACATAAAACTCGGTATTTTGAAAGGGGGGAACAGGAAAAGAGCCAAATGCTATTCATACATTTTTCATACATGAAAACTGTGAGATAACCACTTTTTCCAAAAAAAAAGAAACACAGTTTTTTTTCATCACCAGACTGTTTTATTTGGTTCAAATAGCCGCACAAATCAGTTTGAATCTTTTTTCATTGATTTTTTGAAATTGTTTGAAAGTTGTTTGATAAGCATTTTTCCATACATTTGATGTATGGAATTGTATGATGAGCATTTTCGTGTATGGAACTCTAAGATAAGCATTTTCGGTTAATGGGGGTCAAGCTGTGTTGTGTATAAATAATTTATTTCGAAAATCTTGCAAAATACGTTCAGTCAGAAACTGTAGTTAATTCATAGTGTATATCAAAAAAAGCTCGCTTCTGTTAATTTTACCGTTTAACAAACATTATTGGATTACCTTATTTGTCGTCAAAACTCAGTTTTGGCATTTTTTTGAATTTTCCTCCTTAAAATGGTGAAAGAGGAAATTTTACGAAGTAACAAAACATAAAATTTGTTTGAAAAAAAAACTTCGACATCTTTCTGAATGACGAAATCATAACTACGAAAGGATTTGAGAGCTCTAGTTGTCTTATTCTCAAGGGACCTGGTTATTTTCAAGGTAACACTATTTCATAGTAGTACCTTGAGTCGATTTCAGCATGCCAATTCGCCATTTTTTTGGATAATTTTTTCGGATTTTGCGCGATCGGTCATCCTTAAAGGCTCTTTTTTCACCTTGACGAGTATGAATTATGTATGATCTCTTTTACGCGAACTCCAACCACATTGGAGTTGCATACTGCATACTCGTCACGGTGAAAAGAGAGCCTTTAAGCCTGACCGATTGCGCAAAAATATAAAAAATCCTCCAAAAATTGAAATACTAGTCAAATTCGTCACGGTAAAAAAAGAGGCAGGGTGGAAAACAGGGCCCGTTTCGAGTTCCCTCCTTAAATTTTTTCTGAACTTCAATGTATAAGTCTTTTTGAAAGAACTTTTATGGCACTGATTGACTTGCACTGATTGCTCCCCAGTCTCAAATCATCGTGGGAGCTTCCTTAATGTCCTTCAATAGTACCTGGAAAAACTTTTTTCGTCGCCATCAAAAAAATGCTAGGCTCTTTTCCAGTTCCCCCCTTTCAAATTCAATTTTGAAAAACTTAGATAACGTTGTCATATTGCATTGAAATTTGGCGTGGTGAACAAATCGACAACTATGAAGAGATTTGTTCTTCATACTTTACAGCGTAACATCACGCTTTTAGCCGTAATAACACGTATAACAAACATAAAACTCGATATTTTGAAGGGGGGAACTCGAAAAGAGCCAAATGCTATTCATACATTTTTCTTGCATGAAAACTGTGAGATAACCATTTTTTCCAAAAGAAAAGAAACACAGTTTTTTTTCATCACCAGACTGTTTTATTTGGTTCAAATAGCCGCACAAATCAGTTTGAATCTTTTTTTATTGATTTTTTGAAATTGTTTGAAAGTTGTTTGATAAGCATTTTTCCATACATTTGATGTATGGAATTGTATGATGAGCATTTTCAGGTATGGAACTCTAAGATAAGCATTTTCGGTTAATGGGGGTCAAGCTGTGTTGTGTATAAATAATTTATTTCGAAAATCTTGCAAAATACGTTCAGTCAGAAACTGTAGTTAATTCATAGTGTATATCAAAAAAAGCTCGCTTCTGTTAATTTTACCGTTTAACAAACATTATTGGATTACCTTATTTGTCGTCAAAACTCAGTTTTGGCATTTTTTGAATTTTCCTCCTTAAAATGGTGAAAGGGGAAATTTTACGAAGTAACAAAACATAAAATTTGTTTGAAAAAAAAACTTCGACATCTTTTTGAATGACGAAATCATAACTACGAAAGGATTTGAGAGCTCTAGTTGTCTTATTCTCAAGGGACCTGGTTATTTTCAAGGTAACACTATTTCATAGTAGTACCTTGAGTCGATTTCAGCATGCCAATTCGCCATTTTTTGGATAATTTTTTCGGATTTTGCGCGATCGGTCATCCTTAAAGGCTCTTTTTTCACCTTGACGAGTATGAATTATGTATGATCTCTTTTACGCGAACTCCAACCACATTGGAGTTGCATACTGCATACTCGTCACGGTGAAAAGAGAGCCTTTAAGCCTGACCGATTGCGCAAAAATATAAAAAATCCTCCAAAAATTGAAATATTAGTCAAATTCGTCACGGTAAAAAAAGAGGCAGGATGGAAAACAGGGCCCGTTTCGAGTTCCCTCCTGAAATTTTTTCTGAACTTCAATGTATAAGTCTTTTTGAAAGAACTTTTATGTTGAAACTGCATCCAAACGTGTCAGTGTGAATAGGTGAACAAATTTTTTTGCAACATTTCTTTCATGCGAATTGCCGTGTGAACAGTTTTTGAGCAGCTTCATTTTGTAATTTTACGAGGGGGCTGGAAAAGAGCTAAATTATGTATTACTCAAACTAAATCTGCTTTTCTCTCGCGAAAGAGAACAGTCATGTCGCAATCATAGATATTCCCGACATCTTTCTCAACAAACCATTGAGTTTTTTCAAAAAAGTAGTATATCATTGAGTCAGCATAATGTTTAGATTGGCAACATACCTCCAACCAAACTGTAAGAATCGAGGCACAAAATACAGCGTCCAATAAGCCAGATGACCAACTACGGCAGTTACCTTTGGAGGCCACAAATCATTTCGCTACACTGATCCAGAACCAGTACCTCTTCAAACTGAATCCAGCAGTAATCCAAGCACAGAAAGACATCAAATGTGCAGAAATGAGTGAGTCATCACATTTATTGGATGACAGAAAACGAAAAAACAACCATGATGAATCGACCGACGAGAAAGAGAAGTCATGTCGTGGCGGCATGAAAAAGAACGACGTCCCGAAGGGTTCATGCCTGGAGATACAAACCGTTCAACTGCCTATGGTCAGTTTATGCTTCTAACTATTTGATCAATGCCTAAAAGATAGTGCCCCGCATCCGCATGTTCTTATTTATTTCATTCAAAATTTCAAGCGGATGCCACTGATTTGAACTGTTGTATACAGTCAACTTTATATTTTTCACACAAATTCCTAAAGAGTTTTTGTTGAATTTTAAGGAACTTTATATATCGTATGATAGTCTTTATCTGTTTCTACCAATGGAAAATTACTTCCGAAGCTTTTCCTGACCTGGAGTCTACATGGCTGTTTTTGTGCTTAATGATCCTAATGCGATTAGCCCAAGAAAGCTGAGCCCCAGGAAAAATAAATGGACCTAAAGCCAGCTGAGTCCTAAGGCAGATTACGCTTGTAGCTAGCAGAGAACTTCGATCAGCATAAAAAATCTCTAACCCATTTTAACACGCATTTGCATCTTTGCAATCAAACAATCTTGTCATCTGGTTTCTCAAATCAGTTTTTACTCTCAGCAAACTGCTAATTTTCTCTGTGGAATATAACTATGTACTTGATATGCCAGCTGATTGCTTTTCATTGAGGTTATATGCGCTAAAAATCCCAGCCCTTCAGAACCACTATAAAGCCGCAGGTGCGCCTGGCACTGATTGCTCCCCAGTCTCAAATCATCGTGGGAGCTAACTTAATGTTTTCATGCCTAATTGACATCGTCAAGTGCGTATCGAACAGATCCCGCGGTGAAAAAAATGCAGGAAACAGAATCGATTGCGGAATAATTGATTGATTTTTACGTCTTGCAAAAAAATAGGAAAGTGATATGTTGAAATATAATACTACAGTGCGTCATTAATCTCTTCGGATTACCCATTTTTTCTTTCCGTTTTTTTTTGTAGATCTGCAATGCAATGCCCTTGCACGTGATTACGTTCTAATTTCCTCGGAAAATAATTACTGATTGTTAATTCAGAGCCTTATTAAATTACAGCGGAATATTTTTCGAAAAAGAAAACTTAAAGTAGCAGGAAAATGCCTTAAATCTGAGTGTCCAAATGGGATAGGTGTTGTCATGAGCCTAAGTTTTAATCAAAATTTGCTTTAAGATGTTCACTGCTGGTGCCCCTGTGCTGCTAGAGGATCTACTCTGCAAAAGCGAGGTGTCAATCATTCGCAAAAGAAACGAATTTTTCAGACCCGCCCTCAAAGTCATCAACAGAAGCCCCGCCAACCAACCACCCTCCCACCCCCACGTGCCCTCAATATCCGTCACGCTCAACCTTCTTGAGAACGATCATGCATGCCTCTCTCAAACGAAGAGATCAAAACTTCATTTGCAATCAATAAGTTGAACTTCTATTTTTCTTTTTAGTGGGTTCATCTTTCTAAGCTTCTTTACATTACGCGTGTACAAATTATCTGAACATAAGTATAAAAAAAGTTTTAATTATTTCATTCATTCACATTTTTACTAAAAAGACTTGCATCTCTCTTCATATCTTTGTTTAAATTATGCGCTTTCGTTTCTTGATGACATATTTTTTCGCTCAATTTTTTTCGAGTTGTATGCTTAACCAGTCAGTTATTGGATCGTCAGTTTTCCACAGGGGTTCCAACGGCTTTCCGCCTATTTGTAGTACGAATTTTTGGGAAACTTCTCTCGGTAGTAGCTGCTGCTACGAGGCTTCCCACCCCAGTACCTCAGTCTGTTGAAACCTCCCAAGAAGTCGTATATGTTATACACAGCTGCATTACTTATTCCATACACGTTATTTTAATACACAGGCAGTCGCGAGTGAAAAATTCCTCTTGTTGGGTACCCTAAGAAGTTTTGATTAACATTCCAGTTGTTATTCCATTGCTTGTCGGAGAAGTAACATGTAAGGTATTGGTTATTCAGATAGTACGAAGTTGGTGTTGTTGTCAATAACAGAAATAATAACTTCCATGCAACGAAACACATTTTGAAAATTTTAAAACTTAGTTAATCGCAAATGTTTGAAAGAATCATTTTTGCTCACCGAATCCAACTCGAGATAATTTTGAATAAATTGCTGATTTTTATTTGGAGACAATAATTTTTAATTCAACAGTTATTTTTGATTGACCAAGTTTATTTGACAAAATTTCATATTTTTGAAATTTTTTTATAAGTATCAAAAAAATTGGAACAGGCAGAAATAATTTAAAAGAGCATTCTATTAATTTGCAGCATTTTTCACATGCAAATGCGAAGTTATATGGTAAGATTGAGACATATTTTTGTCTGAGAAGTTTTAAAGAGTTGCAAAAACTTTGGAAAGACAGAATTATTTTAAAAAAGCAACGGTCTAGACATCAGCGGAAACTAAAACTGAAATAAAGTCGAAAATTAATAAAGTTCTAGACAGAATTCAATCAGACAGAATTATTTCAAAAGAGCAAATTATCTAATTCAGAAAAATGTGCAAAACTTCACCAAAAAATGGGAAGTTTTTTCAATTCAATCTTCATCAAAAAAATGGGTAGTTTTTCAATTCAATCTCCTTGTCCAAAGTTATTTCAGAATCATTTCAGTAAAATAAAACGTTTTCCGATGAAATGGTTAAAAGCTATAATTAGTTGCAAAAAATTCAAGGCCACCATGCAAAAAGTGTTCAAAGTTGGCACATTGCTTTAATAATTATTTCTGTTTGTTCAAATTTTTTGCTCCTAATTATAGCTTTTAACCATTTCATTGGAAAACGCTTTAATTTATTGAAATGATTCTGAAATAACTTTGGACAAGGAGATTGAATTGAAAAAACTACCCATTTTTTGGATGAAAATTGAATTGAAAAAACTTCCATTTTTTTGAAGTTTTGCACATTTTTCTAAATTAGTTAATTTGCTCTTTTGAATTAATTCTGTCTGAATAGTTTCTGTCTGTGGCAATTTTTTGCAACTTTCTCTTTATAACAATAATTGCTAATCGCTTGAACAGAAAAAATTGATTAAAAAAAGCAACTAACTTCATCAAAAAAATGGGTAGTTTTTTCAATTCAATCTCCTTGTCCAAAAGTATTTCAGAATCATTTCAGTAAATTAAAACGTTTTCCGATAAAATGGTTAAAAGCTATAATTAGCAGAAAAAAATTTGAACAAACAGAAATAATTAGAAAATCAATGTGCAATAAATATTTAGACAAAAAATGACTCCAGCTCACCTGAAAATTCAAGGCCACCATGCAAAAAGCGTTCAAAGTTGGCACATTGCTTTCTAATTATTTCTGTTTGTTCAAATTTTTTGCTAGTAATTATAGCTTTTAACCATTTCATCGGAAAACGTTTTATTTTTACTGAAATGTTTCTGAAATAACTTTGGACAAGGAGATTGACTCGAAAAAAAACCCAATAGTTGATGAAGTTAGTTGCTTTTTTTATTGAGTTTTTTCTGTTCAAGCGATTTGCAATTATCGTTATAAAGAGAAAGTTGCAAAAAATTGCTACAGAAGAATTATTTCAGACAGAATTAATTCAAAAAAGCAAATTATCTAATTCAGAAAAATGTGCATAAAATATAACTCAAGGTCACCTGAAAACTAAAATTTGCATGCAAACGGTAATAAAATGTTGCAGATTGCTCGTCTAAAAAAGTTATGTTTTTTCGAAATTTTGCAAGTTATTTTCTAAAATTTGTCGTTGAGCCGTCGTCGAGCATACACTATCATTAGATTGAGTTGAAGTATAAGAGGCAGTAAAATATAAGCAACGTAAAATAAAGTAAACCTTAGTTATATCTACAAGAAAAAACAGTAGCCGAGCATATACGCAGCGCGTTTCGATGGTTTTGGCTGGCGCATGTTTGATGCGCGTCTAAGTTTTTTCTTTACAAGGCACAAAAATGAACTTACCTGATAGAACATGAAATTTACGCTCCGTAACCAAGTAAGATCCCCCAAAAAATGTTTCTTGTTTTTATTTAATTGTTTATACTAGTGCTTGAAATGGCTCTGGCTGAACCTGATTGACAGAATTTTGCCTGTCAAAAAACCGTGTTTTTACCAAAAATGTGAACCCGAACAAAACCGAAAAAGGCAGAAAGGTGTTGATTAAAACAGAAGCTGTTGAGTTTACAATGTACACTTAACCTGAAAACAAAACTGTTTTCGCAACTTGAGCGCCAGAAGTTACATAGTAAAACGATTCATTACAATTTTCGATACAGTACTTTTCTAGCTGCACAATTTGGTTCCGTGACAGAGAAATTTTGAAGACCGATTCTCCGCCAGACCGTGAAGTTTCAGTGGACGATTCTCCAACAGATCGGAAAGTTTCAGACGACGAATCTCCACCAGACCGTGATGTATCAGATGAAGATTCTCTACCAGACTGAGATATATCAGAATGCCATTATCTAACAACGAGCTTCAACTGCTCAAACTGTGACCGCGTACAATCAGACGACGATGACTCTAACGCTATTTAGCAAGCTTTCTCACTTTGCGGTTAACCCGCCTAAAGTTTCGTCTGCAAACCGAGTTACTTTAGTCCTTGTCTGTAACTCGAGTGAGAAAGAAACGAATGATATTATGTCTAGCTAGAGACCGGTAATGTAGCAATTCCCACTCCCTAGAAGCCGGTAACTGCGAGCAATTAGGATCTTCAGTACGAACAGGAAACGCTCTTTCGAAGCAGTGTGACCGCAGGTCGTGACGAAGGTCATCAGAGGTCGGTGACGAAAGGCAGGGTGCCAGTCAATTGAGAAGTTTTTGAATTATCAAGCGACCCGGGTTGATCTCCAAAGACCAAAAATGCTAATCATACAATTCCATAAACTTAGTCTATGAAAAATTACTAGTCATACAAATTTCATACATTTTGCTAAAATGGTGTCGCTGAATTTTCAAAAACGTTTCTCTTGTTTCGGCATAAAATTCGGTGTATCGCACTACATAAAAAAGAAAAACTTTTTGTCGAAAAAAATGCTAATACATGGAAAATGTATGACTAGCATTTTTTTGATGGCGACGACAAAATTTTTTCAAAGTGTTTTTGAAATTGCCCACAAAAATTTGTGTGTTTTTTTTTCATTCGCGAATTGATTTTCGTACTCAAACAAACATTTTTTCAAAAAAAAATTTTCATGCAAAATTTTTTTTTGTATAACATAGTCCTGGAAACATTAATGTTGGATTTTTTTTGATGGCTCTTTTTTGATGGCTCTTCATAAATTTTTTCACAAACGCTTAAAACTTTTGTATGACATGTTTTTCTATGCCTTGATCAAAGGGGAGCGCAATCTACGACAGCTGTGGGTTAACCTCCCAAAGGAATACAGGGTTTTCAAAACGGGTATTGAGAGAGAGAGAGAGAGAGAGTGCAAGGTATCGAGTGTGCGCAATTTTGTTGTGGGCTAACCCCCTAGGGAACTTAGGATTTTTTAAATTGTTGTTGACAATATCAAAGACCATATAACATACAGATAGACCTTTCCAGATATCGAGTTCGTGAGACAAGCACCTGATGGGGTGTGAAGTTGCCATCTACAGTCAATAGACAAAACTCCAGAAAACTATGAGACAAACCCAACCCCACCCTCCCTTTTTCGCTTACTGTCACAAATTTTTCAATTGTCTCAAATATCTATATGCTAATACTGGGTAATAGATACTTTTTTCGATAAAAGACTCACCCAATTTTTTGAAGATTTGGGTCAAAATTGTGGCCAACATTAAAAGAAGACGTTATTTGTTCGACAACAATTTTTGCGATATTTCGGAACCCGGTAAAAATCCCGCTATCGAAACACAGCAGAAATTTCAAAAATGAGCCAAGAACGGATTATTACCCTCGACCGGAACATTTCAAAATTTCATATTCGTTTATACATGAACTCAAAAAACCCCAAACCTACAATTTATTTGGAGATCCGGCGACTTCAGGTTTACTTCGAGCTGCTGAAGGGAATTATGGTTTTGAATTAATTTATACGACGCCCTCTAAACCTAAACGATTTTTTTGTAATGTTAATAAATCCGCTGAGTCTGAGTTTTCTGGCATAAAACCATTAATGATTTTTTTTGTCAGTTCTTGTTCGTTCCATCACTCGCTAAAAGAACAACCACTAATATTTTGTTAATACCTGGTCTAATCTTTGCCTGGTCTAATTTTTAATCCGAACGCAGTGAACCAACCTAAGACTGTACAGAACTACTTTGAATCAACTTTATACTATCACTCAAATATCGTGATTTGGCAGGACATCATAAAAAACTTGATTAGTAGGCATCGTAGCAATAACTTCAACTCTCAAGTTAAAAGTTTATGCATTCTAAAACGTTATAGAGGGAAATTAGTGACCTCATGTACTATCAACGCACCGAAATTGAGGAAAATTTTGATTATGAAAGTATTTCAGATATTCTAACGATCAGTAACGTCAAACAATTGATATCGAAATCTAAAGCTAAGAATAAGCGGTAACGAAAACAGTTGCTGTCCTTAGACCAGCCTGAAATTTATTCGCGTATACGGC